CTCAGTCTGGTTTTTCCCTGTGTCACCTTGTATACCTGGTAGAATGTTTATAATTAAATACTTATTTTAAGCTATAAAGTTATTTTTGACTTGACATTTTGAATTAGGCACTTTATTCCGTTCTCATATCTGCTTATAAAATTTGCAATCTTGAGACATTTCAACCTAAAACAATTCAAATACACCTTCTGCCTTCAGGCTCGATTCTAATAAAAGTGAACAGTCTTGTGTTTTACTATTTTGGACAGTCTGCCATTTGAGCGTACTGTGGTAAACATCACTTTGAAAGTGGGTAGTGCAATTAACCTTGCACTCTTGGGTTTATTTTTTCTGTCACAGGTAGAGTTGGCTTTGTGGGACACAGCTGGGCAGGAAGATTATGATCGCTTGAGGCCCCTCTCCTACCCGGACACTGATGTTATACTGATGTGTTTCTCCATTGACAGCCCTGATAGTTTAGGTGAGTAGCCCTGCAGTATGATGTTTGTTGCTGCCCATGTGCCAGCCAGGCACTTGTTTTCTCTGGTCCTTTCTGAGCATCAAGTAGCCTAAATGCAGACGTGAGCTTCAGAGAAGGAATCATCAGTGGCCAGAGTCCTAGAGCCTTGGGTCTGTAGAGATTGGGCCCTGGGTCCTTTTCAGCCTAGGTCTCCCATGGCTGCCATGTGTCCACTCTGTAAAGTAGGTGGATTCCAAAGACGAAGATTTGAACTAAGATTTAGGGGAGGCTATTTTTAGGGCAAGGTGCCCATACCTTTTCTGAGTACTTACTGAGCATACTGCCTCCCTACATCTAGACTGGTGACTTGCCGTTCCTAGTAGTGTTTTTAAAACCCTATTTTAACCCTTTCCTAAAGTGTTTTGTCTAATAGAGATTCGAAACTGACCATACCACTAGCTTAGTTTGCCACATGTTTTAAAAGCCACTTTCCTTCAGAAAATAATAACAATAACAATAATAATAATAATAATGACTTCACACTGTGCAAAACAAAGCAACAAGGCCTTGAAGTCAGAGAGCGAACAATTCTAAACTAAGTCTCAAATTACAATCACTACCATTTACTTGTCATACCGAGTGCTTTGTATGCATTGACTCAAAATAGTGCTGTGTAAGGTAGGTAGATATTACTGTTACCCATTTTATAAAATTATCCCTGACAGTGAGATGCTCAAGGTGTGGGTATGGGTGGCTGAATTCAGGCCGCTCATCCACTATGATGTACATACAGCCTTACTAAATTAGTATAGTATTGGCAAGAAGCTACAGCTGGTTATCACTCATTTTCAGTAGTTACTCTTGAGTCATTTGAAATACCATTAACCCACAGATGGAGGTCATGCTTAGGGTCCATGAGCAAGGTGTAGAGAGAACATGTGGGCTCTGGGCCAACCCTGGCTCCAGAATAGGGACCCCTTCTGTAAGCTGTGGTCAGAATCTCCTCTCCAGCAGTGACAGGGATGGCCGGTGGGGAGCTTCCTCTGTGGGGCAGGTGGCACCATTGTGGAGGCTCCCTGTATTCTGGATCCTCTGCTTCTCCAGAGCCTTACCTTGGCTCCCACTCCAGAGGAACTGTGCTCCTTGGTGGGACTTAGAAAAGCTAGAGACTCTGTGCTTAAGGGAAGGGGCTTAGATCTGGAATAGTTTCTTCACAATTTAATTAGGACTCTTAGAGATTCTTCAAGATAGACTTGTACGTATCCCCAAGTTAACCCACATTTCACTTCTTTCAGAAAACATCCCAGAAAAATGGACTCCGGAAGTCAAGCATTTCTGTCCCAATGTGCCCATCATCCTGGTTGGAAACAAGAAGGACCTTCGGAATGATGAGCACACAAGGCGGGAGCTAGCCAAGATGAAGCAGGCATGGTCTGGGGCAGGGTTCTGTATTCTTGTAGCATTCTTGAACCTGAGGAGCCAAGCTTGGGGGTTCAGGGAGTCCCAACAGAAACCCTCATAGGCCAGGCTATTTCAGAGAGAGTCCCAGAAGTCTCTCTCCATTTGGTCCTCCTTGACTAGGCTCTAGTCATATGAGATGGAACCTCTCTTGTGGGATAGTGCCGTGCCCCCAAAGATCATCTGCCTTAGAAGGGACCATCACAGCAGTAGTCTGCTCCAGATGCAGGAACTTTTATCATGCTCTTGATTTCCCCCTCTTGTTATTACCTTGATATATGTGAGGCCAAAGACAAATTGGTAGCAACTGAAAGATTAAGAAATTCTGAGGGCATGCAGTCCAGGTGAATAGCCCTGATACCTTTATAAAAGTGATGCTGGAGGTAGTATCTTGGCTTCCGAGAAGCTAGGTAGCCCAGTGGTAGGGCTTCCCCATTGCAGGAATAGTGCCTTGAAGTCTTCAGCCAAGGTTTCCCACTGCAATCTGAATGTCAGGGTCAGGATTTGTTTCCTTTCATGGGCACTCAGCCCTCCGTGAAGCTAACTATAGGAAGACCCAAGGGCTTACCTTGGATTGACAGCTTGCCCTTCACTTCCTCCTGAACCCTCCAGGGTTTCTCTGGCCTCTCTCTCTCCTCTCTCTCTACTTCCCAGAGAAGAGCTCATTTGGTAGGGATATTATATTGGAGTGGGGGGTGTCACTGCATATGAGTTTATAGACAGAACTCAAACCTGGGGGTGTAGAAACTTTTAAAAGTCTTTTAGCTGAATTTGAATACTTCTACACCTACTTGCTATATATATGTAACAGTGTTAACTGAATGCTCTTTTTTCTCTTTACCAGGAGCCGGTAAAACCAGAAGAAGGCAGAGATATGGCGAACAGGATTGGCGCTTTTGGGTACATGGAGTGTTCAGCAAAAACCAAAGATGGAGTGAGGGAGGTTTTTGAAATGGCCACGAGAGCTGCTCTGCAAGCCAGACGTGGGAAGAAAAAATCTGGGTGCCTTGTCTTGTGAAACCCTGCTGCAAGCACAGCCCTCATGCGGTTAATTTTGAAGTGCTGTTTATTAATCTTAGTGTATGATTACTGGCCTTTTTCATTTATCTATAATTTACCTAAGATTACAAATCAGAAGTCATCCTGCTACCAGTATTTAGAAGCCAAGCCAACCATGATTATTAATGATGTCCAGCCCACCTGACCCGCCGGGGGCCTTCTGACACCGCTCTAACAGCCCTCCTCTGCACTCCACCTGACACACCAGGCACTAATTCAAGGGATTTCTTAACTTCTTGCTTCTTTCTAGAAAGAGAAATGGTAACTTTTGTGAATTAGGCTGTAACTACTTCATAACTAACATGTCTTGCCTCTCATCTGTCAGCTGCAACGTATTCTGGTGAGTCACCACTTCAGAGCTTTACTCCTTAACAGATTGCATTGGCATAGCTCTGGAGTGGCCATCCAGTTTTTTCAAAATGGGCTCAGCCAGAAAGGCCCAAGTCCATGCAGCTGTGGCAAAGTTACAGTTCTGTGGTTTCATGTTAGTTACCTTATAGTTACTGTGTAATTAGTGCCACTTAATGTATGTTACCAAAAATAAATATATCTACCCCAGACTAGATGTAGTATTTTTTGTATAATTGGATTTCCTAATACTGATATTTGTCATCCCCACAGAAAGTGTATTGGTTTTTTAAAAAAGAAAGTGTATTTGAAAATAAAGTCAGATGGAAAATTCATTTTTTAAATTCCCGTTTTGTCAGTTTCTCTGATAAAAGATGACCATCTCACCTGTTTTCAGCCCCACATGTCCCAGTCCCCCTCCCCAGAGCTGGGCTAAGTAAGTAGGAATTTGGTTTCAAGCGCCCGAGGCACTCAGACACTTCTGAAGGTGGCACAACCTGTCTGGACCGCAGGGTCGGCCTCTAGTTCACAGTGCTTTCTCCTCACTGTATCTAGGTTCCCTCCCAGAGGAGCCACCAGTTCTCGTGGGTGGCACTGTGTTTCTCTCCTCTCCAGCTGACTAAACTTTTTTTCTGTACCAGTTAATTTTTCCAACTACTAATAGAATAAAGGCAGTTTTCTAAACTTCCTGTATCCTGGTGTTTGTGTTACTCTCTCCAGTGCTGGGAGTGGGAGGATGGACTCGGCCTAACTCGCCTTAGAAGGTTCCTTTAGGTACTTCAAAGTACCAGCTTGCCCACCACCACCCCCTTCCCCAATCTGGCACTAACCTGGCTCCTCCCAACAACATGGAAATGATTATCTCATCACATTCAGGTTCAGAGTGGGGTGGAGTGAGGAATGCAGCCTGCTGCGGAGACATGAGGGCACTCTGAGCAGTCGTTCTTCTGCACGGATCAGGAATGTGACGTTTTTCTCTTACTCCCTGTCCATTTTCAGTGCCTCTTCCAGGGTTGAGCTTCAGATGAAGTTGACTATGTATGGAGAGTGGCCTGAAGTCAGCAGGGTCCACTGGGCCCTGCATCCTGTTGGGCTCCCCTCCAGGAGGCTGGGGTTGGGCCTCAGCGGCTCCTTGAGAGAAGCTGTGCCCCAGCAGTGCACACTGGGGGCCTAAGAGGAGGGAGACCAGAGGCCTGGACCTATACGTGTTCCAGGCAGCCCCGGAATGCAGGGAAATGAGAGCTGGCTTTTGGAGCCTGAGCCTTCCCTGGCTACTTCTGGCATTGCCCACCCTCTTCCACCTTAGCTTTCCTAGACCCATGGAGCCTCATCACAGAGAAATTGTCTTGGCAGCTGCTGCCAACTGCAGCATCACCGCAAGTCAGAACTCGCCCTGCACCTGGCGACAAAACGTTACATTCTGCAAGTATAGTAGTATAGCATAGGCTGGGGAGCGCTTTGAGACCTTGGCTCGGGTGCCAGGCGGGGTAACGGGTGGTTGCAGCAGTGTGGGCCTTGCCTGGGCCGGACCAGACGTGCCCGCGGCTCCGCCTCGTCTGGGCGGTGTCCGCATCCGGCCAGGCCGCACCCCGCCCGCCTTGCTAGTCAACCTCCCCAGGGAGACCTGATTCCGGATGAGGCGGGACCGAAGGGGCGGGGCGGAGCGGTCGGGAAAAGCGCCTCCGCCACGTGACCCTATTGGCCCCTATTAGAAAGCGCACCCCGGGCCCCCTGGTGTCTGTCTCACCAGTGCTTCCCCTCTTCCACGACATGTGCGCCGCTCAGCTGACGGCGGCCGCGGCGGCCGCGCAGGCGGCTGCGGCCCCGGGCTCCGTGTATGCCTACTCCGCGCGCCCGCTGGCGGGCGGGGAGCCCGTGAGCCTGGGCTCCCTGCGGGGCAAGGTGCTGCTCATTGAGAATGTGGCGTCGCTCTGAGGCACAACGGTCCGGGACTACACCCAGATGAACGAGCTGCAGCGGCGCCTCGGGCCCCGGGGTCTGGTGGTGCTCGGCTTCCCGTGCAACCAGTTCGGGCATCAGGTGCGCGGGGCTGGGCAGAGCGGAGCGGGAGGGCGCGCGACCCGGGTTAGGAGCGCGGCGGGGAGGCCGCCGGCCCGCTTCCCTCCGGCGCTCGTCCTGGCTGGACCTCAGGTCCGCACCGGGGTTGCGCAAGAAGGGCAAAGAGCCTGGTGACTCATCCAAAAACTCCTTGTTTGCGCCCAGAAAGTTTCCCTCCTCGCGGCCCCGGGTCTCAGCTGCTCTTCCTTCCCGCAGGAAAACACCAAAAACGAAGAGATCCTGAATTCTCTCAAGTACGTCCGACCTGGCGGCGGGTTCGAGCCCAACTTCACGCTCTTCGAGAAGTGCGACGTGAACGGCGCACAGGCGCACCCGCTCTTCACCTTCTTGAGGGAGGCTCTGCCGGCGCCCAGTGACGACACCACCGCGCTAATGACCGATCCCAAGTTCATCATCTGGTCTCCGGTATGCCGCAACGACATTGCCTGGAACTTCGAGAAGTTCCTGGTGGGCCGGGACGGCGTTCCTGTGCGCAGATACAGCCGCCGCTTCCCGACCATCGACATCGAGCCCGACATCGAAGCCCTGCTGTCCCAGGGGCCTAGCAGTGCCTAGGGCACCCCTGCTGCCTCTGCTTCTTGGCAGACACAGCGCTGCCCTCCGGGGGTTTTATCCATGATGGTGTTTCCGCTAAACCTGCAAGGAGGTACACCTGATGTCCAGGAAAATCCCCTGGGGTGGGCGCTGGGCCTGACCATCACAGCCTCTCCCTCCCACACCGCCACCCCTCTCAATAAAGTGTCCTGTCAGCAGAATCGTGTGTTTGTCCTGTGTCAGTGGGAACATGGGGCTGGAAGCTTGAGCCCCCTAGTCGTTGGCCCTGG